TATATATATATACACTGTATATGTACTACAGTATAACAAAATGCATTTATTTGTTTACTCATGAAGTTTGTGTCAAGCATACTTTATATGTAATAATCTGATCAGTTCATTACCTGAAAGAGGGAGTCTTTGAGCTGTGTCCACATGTGTCCCATAAAGTCATACAAAATCTGTCAATTTGGTGTAGCAAGCAGTCATAATCTGATTTACCCGTCTTGTTTTATCATCTGTCAAGTTCCTGGCAAAAACCAATGCAGACATGTTGCTATTGTTATTGCCTTACAACCTAGCTGTTTGTTTTTTTTTTGTTTGTTTAATTTTATACCATTTTCTTTCACTTGTTCTTCTCAATTTGTGTTCTTCCTTTTATGATTGTCTTCTGTTGTCTTTGTTGTCCACAGATGTCATCACTCTGTTAAGAAATCAGGTTTCTCTTGCAAATGAGTCCCCAAGGCTCAACGAGATTAACCTGTATAAATGAAGGTTGAATGAATCTTCAAGACATAATACTCAAAAGTCACATGGAGCTCTAAAGAGAGTGTCTGAGTTCTCCTTGTCTGCTGGTGGGCTGCAGCCTTTATGTTGTTTCCAAAAATCCTGCACAATGCTCTTTGATTGTGCAGATCGCTGCAATTTAACTTTGACCACTACAGTGCTAGATTGTTTTATGGCCTTACCCTATAAGATACTGCAAGGTTAGTGATGTAAACAAGAAAAGATGAAGCAGACTGTAACACAAGATAGAGTAATTTCAGATGTTCTCTTAACTTATATATGGTCTGAATGACTATCGGCCAGTGGCCCTCACCCCGATAATCGCTAAATGCTTCAAAAAACTGGTCATGACTCACATCAAAACAATCATCAACATCAACGAGGATCCTCATGAGTATACATACCGTGAGAACCAATCAACTGAGGATGCCATCTCCTCTGTGGTCCACACTGCACTCAAACACCTGTAGCAGAAACTCTTACGTCCGTATGCCCTTTGTGGACTTCACATTCGCCTTCAACACCATGATCCCCCAAACCCTGATGGACAAACTATCCACACTAGGACTAAGCCCCTCCATCTGCAACTGGGTACTAGACTTATTAACAAACAGACCACAGTTAGTGAGGATCCACAACCTCTCCTCCTCCACCATAACCCTCAGCACTGGCTCTCCTCAGGGATGTGTGTTGAGCCCCCTCCTGTTTACTCTGCTAACATATGATTGTGCAGCTAGCCATCCAAGCTGTCACATTGTAAAGTTTGCAGATGATACAGCGGTGGTGGGATGTGTCACAAACAATGATGAGTCCAGCTACAGGCAAGAGGTGGAACACCTGGAGGGCTGGTGCAAAGAGAATAACCTTCACATCAATGTGAAGAAGACAAAGGAGATGATTGTGGACTTGAGAAGGAACAAACACACCTACACCCCCCTGAACATAAGAGGATCTGCGGTGGAAGTGGTCTCCAGCTACAAGTACTTGGGTGTACACATGAATGTCAACCTCAGTTGGAGCAACAACACCAGCCTGATCAAGAAAGCTCATCAGAGACTCTACTTCCTCAGGCGGCTGAGACGAGCTGGTCTGTGAAGCTCAGTCCTCACCTCCTTCTACAGGTGTGCAGTGGAGAGCATCCTGTGCTCCAGCATCAATGTGTGGCATGGAGGCTGCACAGCTGCAGAAAGAAAAGCTTTGCAGAGAGTGGTGAAGGCTGCACAGAAGTCTGTCTGAGTCAGTCTCCCCACCATCACAGACATCTACACCTCCAGATGCAGGAAGAGGGCCACCTGCATCATGAAGGACCCCACCCACCCACCCAGCACACACACTTTTTGTCCCACTCCCCTTAGGAAGGAGGTTGAGGAGCATTAAGTGTAGAACCACTAGACTGAGGAACAGCTTCTACCCTGACGCTGCTAGACTCATGAATCTCTAACCAGAATAATCACTGTGAAAAATCACATCATGTTGCTGCTGATCTGTTTCATGTTGCTGCTGATCTGTTTCAATGTTGATGTGTTCATGCGTGCACATCTGCTCACACAGTCTCATGCTCATGTTCGTGCTGATGTTCGACGTAATGTTTTTATGTTATTAGTGTTTAGTGTATTTGTAGTTGATGTTTTTCTTAGTTCATATCTTAGATGTTATCATTGTTTGTCTTTTACATTTTATTGTTGGATGTAACTGGGACCCTGTGTACATAATTTCGTTCCACCACATGTGCCACATGTGCCACATGTGGTGCGAATGACAATAAAGAATCTCTGACTCTCTGATATATTCCCAGATCAATATTGTTTTTGGCAAGTAAGATGAACTGCCACACTGCTGCAAGATGATGTAGCACCTGATCTGTCAATTAGTTTAATATGAGTGCTCTTGCAGTCCATCAAAGTAAATGTTTGTACAGCAGGAAGAAAGTAGAATAAGTGCATCTTTTCTGGTCTGTAAGTATTAACCTTCTTTTGTGACACTCACTAAAGAATGCATTTGATTAAAGTACTTTTCAAAGAGAAAATACATCCATGTGGCTCTTGCAAGAAAAAACAAGACTTAAGATATAACTTTCACACCCTGTATTCAAATAATGAGGATATAATTTATTAACTGTTCTTACTACTAATATTTTTGATTATTTTATATATATTTTTTTATTTTACCAATTTGATGCACAAGACCTCATCAATTACCCATATAGGGCTGTATTAAACTGCTTATTCAATTTTTTTTCATTTACCCTATAAAACTTTGATTTCTGATTTAAATAAACATTAGAAGACTCTGGTAAAGTAAGAAGACGGTGAGCATTCTGTAAAAAATAACTACTGTTTAGACAGCTGAGTGTATTACTGCATTCTTTTAAAACATCTATAATAGTTTAACAGCTCACAGTCCAATCTGAGTGTTGCTACTGAGAGCAGAAAAAGAAATTAGCCAGTGGAGCATGTGAGATAAGCTGTGGTAAATCTGTGCAGGGCTTAGAGCAGTTCTCAAACTTTTTAACTCCAAAATTTTCCTTTCCTCATAATCCTCATGCTGATTAAATACAATTTACTGCCATTTGTATACCCTTTAGTGGGAATATTTTTGTACCTAAATATTTAAGACCTGCATTAAAAAAAAATTATGCTGAATAAATTTGAATAGTTTTAATACGATATATATACTTTTGACATAATGAACATAATAAATGTACGTATTGCCATTATTCAACAGAAAATTTTACATAACACTGAACAGAAATGTAACAGTAAATATTTGTACTAGGTTCTAGTCTTGAATCAGTGAGTCACATCAATATGACGGTGAATTAGTGAGAAGGATGAGCCACACAGTTTCTCTATTCTTGGAGTGATGGATGACCAACAGACTCTCATCTTCTACCTGTAAACGTGCCCTGAACTTATTTTTCATTGTAGTCAAAGTGGAACAAGGTGATTCACAAAGGTACGTATGGTAGGAAAGGGGAGGCCTCGTGATACTCATGTGACAGGACAACCCAAAAGTTAGCATGATTAACCTGCTGGAATCTGGCCTTTAATGTCCAATCACATAACTCCAGGAGCTGCTCCTCTGTCTCATCTGTCAGACCATTTGCTGTTGCAGCTGGTGCAAATGGATCATGGACCCAGTTCCAGGCATCAACGTTTCCATCTGAGAAGTATGTGCTGAAGTGTTTGCTCAGCAATGTGAGGTGTGAGGCGACGTCTGTAACCACTGACAAGTTATATTAGTGCGGAGAAACTCGGTCAGTTGAGGGAACGTGTCTGTTATTCTCCTTCTCCAGAGGTTTGCTTTTTCATGTGCGCTTTTGTCACTGAGTTCAAGTACAACGTGGGTTTTTCTTACTCATAAACTCTGCCATGTAGCTCAGTTGGTAGAGCTGTTGCTTCTCAGTGAGAAGGTTGCTGGATCGAATCCTGGCCGAGGACCTTTCTGGGTGGAGTTTGCATGTTCTCTCCATGCATGTGTGGGTTTTCTCCAGGTACTCCAGTTTCCTCCCACATACTAAAAACATGCATGTTAGGCTGATCGGTGACTCTAAATTGTCTCTAGGTGTGAGTGAGAGAGTGGTTGTTTGTCTCTATTGTCTCTCTCTGTCCCTGTGATGGACTGGAGACCTGTCCAGGGTGTCCCACACACATCTCACACAGTGACTGCTGGATATTGGCACCAGTGACCCCCACAACCCAAAAAGGACGAAAGATGATGGATGGCTGGATGATGAATGGGGTTCCCCCACTGTGTTTACATTGAGGGCTTACCTGTATTTCATAAATCATATTAATATATCTGGAAGATGAGTGGACAGTTTTAAACTGCACCCTTCATGTTTTCATGTTTGCAATATTGTTCCAAATGTTTTCATATTTTAGTTTGCAAGACTAATATAACAGTTTGTTCTTGTTTTTCAAGAGGGCGTGGTCTGGTGACGTCAGCGGCGCATCTCACCTATATGACGGAGTCCCAGGCAGCAGCAGGACTCCAGTGTGTGAGAAGCTGCAGCATGTGAGCATGTGCAGAGGAGAGGGGGGTGTTCAGCAGCGGTCACAGCCGAACTCTGTCTGTCCACTGCGAGGACAGAACCCACTCCACTGACACCAGAACCACAGAAAACACTAAAGGAGATGTGAGCGAAGCGCGTGTCTGTTGGGAAGATTCTGGAAATGGTTCCAGTCCTGATTGTTTGGAAGCGAAACAAAATGCTTGGGGGCAGAGACTCCCAAAGATGAGAGTCAGAGAAGGCGGTTCTGATCTTCAGCTGGGATCAGATCTAGTTCTGCGTCGGTCGGTCACCTTCTGAAGAGATGTCTAGATGTGCGCGGTGCGCCAGCGTGCGTGTGAGAGACTGACCCACGGTCCTGAGAGAGACAGAGAGGCTGGATAGAAACAGCAGGCATCGTCCGTCCTCTGTGCACGCTCCTCATGCAGGATGCCCGGGGAGCGCGGCGGAGTCCAGCTCAGCCGGAGTTCATGACGCTCGGGGCCGCCTCGTCATGCGTCTGCTGCCCGAGTCCCTGCGGCTTCTCTTCTTCTTCCTCTTCGTGATGGGGGTGGCCCCGGCTCCGGCTCTCACGGCCGGCTGCCCCAACAGGTGCGTGTGCGACGACCAGCTGGTGGTCCAGTGCGCCGGGCAGGACCTGACCCAGTTCCCCATGGACCTCCCTCTGGCCACCCGGCAGCTCATCCTCTCCAACAACCGCATCGGGACCCTGCCTGCCCTGCAGCTCAACTACCTGTCCGACCTGGTCTACTTGGACTGCAGCAACAACTCTCTGACAGACATCTCCGAGTCCACTTTCGGGAACTTGCGCAAGCTCGCCTATCTGGACCTGTCCTTCAACACCCTGCTGCAGATCGAGGACCGGACGTTCGGGCCCCTGGCGTCCCTGGTGATGCTGCGGCTGACGGATAACCCGAGCCTGGGGGACATCCACTCGGACGCCTTTACGGAGAACGTGGCTCTGCAGGTGCTGGATGTGAGCCGGAACAACCTGACGAGCCTGAACATCAGCAGCCTGATCGCCCTGCCGGCTCTGCGCTCCCTGGGGCTCAGCGGGAACCCCTGGAGCTGCGACTGTGACACGGAGGACCTCTGCCTGTGGGTGCAGATAGAAAGCTACAAGTTCCAAGGTGAGCGTGATCCAACATGAGCTTTGATCAGCAGATCATCAGGTGTCTCCTTTCTTTCTGGTTTTTGACTGAAAGAGAGTCAGGGTTTGTGAATTCTGGGCCCGTAGTGGTTTTGTCATTCATTCATGTCACTTTAGATTAATTAGGTCATTTGATTGTGTGTTTAGTGAAATAGTTTATTGGGGCATCCTATAACTAGCTAATTAAAAAAAGATGCCCTGTAGTTTTGAAATAAAGAGTGCAAATTAACAACTTGTGACTCAGTCAGGAAGAGTGTGCTGTAACATTTGGATGTGTTGCACAAAATTTTAAAATACTGTTAAAAAAATAAAAAAATAATGGCATCAATAGGGCTTTGCTGAAACCCATGAGAAAATCCAATCTTTGAGCTCCAAAGCAGAGACATTCTTTAAGGTTCAAATGGTTCTCAAAAAGTTTGATTTTAAATGTTTAAACTAGATCTTTTACATATGAGTTTTATGATTTTTACTGCATTTTTATATTATGTTCAGCTGACAATTGTTGGTGTCACAACAACTGTCAAGCTGACTAAAATTTTCCAATCTTTTACAAATTGTCCTTGTTTGTACACAAACTTTATCAAAACATAACCATTTTTTTTTGTCTTTTTTGACTCAGCAATTCTCTTACTGCTATAGAAGCTATTTTATTTAACGTTTAGGCTCATTGAGTGACAAGGACTCATTTTCAAGAGAGACCTGTTTGGGAGCAGATGGTGGGGGGTTAATATGTGCCCATAGGTTAAGTGCCTTGCTCAAAGACCAAGAGTGGGGCAAATGAGGCTGGAGCCAGGTGTGGGTGTTTCACCTTTCCCACCCACATTTGGATGTTGTCGGTCCGGGGAGTTGAACCGGTGACCTTTCAATCACAGGCCCACCTTCTCTAACCTCTGCACCACCACTCCCTCTTAAACACAGAGTGCACAACAATCTTCAGGCTTCGGGTATAATTTAACTTTAAATATTTTCTCCACTTGTTTTCTTCAACTTGTCATATCACTTACATAAAACATTAAAGAAACATAAAAATCATGTGTGCAACTTTTAAAAGTTTTGTTCCTAACAGTTAAAAAATGTATAAGATTTAATTTACAGTTAATACATAGAAACTGTTTGAGGCTCAATTTTCAGTCTGCATGTTTGTCTGCCTCTCATTCATTTGGAAGTTAGGGAGAAGCGCAGCACGGTGGAGCAGTTGATAGAGCTGCTGCCTCTCAGCAAGCAGGTCACCTAGGTTCAAATCCCGGTCCGGGTGCCTGTCTGGGTGGAGTTATCATGTTCTCTTCGTGCATGCGTGGGTTTTCTCCGCGTACTCCGGTTTCCTTCCACAGACCAAAAACATGCATGTTAGACTGATTGGTAACTCTAAATTGTCTCTATAGGTGTGAGTGAGAGAGTGAATGGTTGTTTGTCTCTGTGTCCCTGTGATGGACTGGAGACCTGTCCAGGATGTCCCCCTTCTCTCGCACAGTGACTGCTGGATATGGACACCAGTGACCCCCGTGACCTGAAAAGGAAGAAGCGAGTAAAAGATAATGGATGGATGGATGGATGGATGGATGGATGGATGGTCGGGATTAAGAAGCACAAGTGTGTGGATATCGTAGTGATCGTAATGAGCTACTACAGCAGCTCTAAATCTGAAATCAAAAGTGTTTTTTGAAGCTAACAAAAGTTGAAAAAGCAGTCATAAAACATACTTGTTTTCAGAACTTTGCATTTTAAAAACTTCACACTACCGGTAATTTTAAAATTAAACTGTAAACAGTGATAAAGGGCCCTTGCACACCGGGGCAATCTGGCCCATACGTTCGTGCAGCTGAGGTGACCGGAGCCATCTCTCTGCTTCCTTGTCCACATCATCGTCGATGACTGCTAAAGTTAACGTCTGTCATTCAGTGGACAATTTCTTTTCTGAGCTTTACTATTGCAGCTGTGTAATGTAGGAATGTCAAACTTCACAGCTGGACAACTCTCAGGGTAACAAGGATTTATACTGATTTTAAGGTTGTTGGGGTCAAAGGTCACCCCTTTCTTTAAAAAGCTCTGATAAACGTTTAACATGAAATGTTAAACTAAACAGCTGGACTCTTCAAATGTCAAATATCATCTGTATTCATTTTCAGTTCATGGTGTCAAAGTTTAAGATCAAAGGTCACCCCATTTTTAAATAACTCTTTTAACATGTCAGACTTCACAGCTGGACACTTTGTGGGTCAAAGATAATTCATATTGATCTCAAGATCATAGGGTCAAAGGTCAAACGTTACCCTTTTTTTTAAATAGCTCTGATTTTAAAACTCTTTCACATAAGTATGTCAAACTGAACAGCTTGACACCTCATAGGTTAATTATGACCCCAATTGATTTCAATGTCACAGGGTTAAAGTTCAAGGTCACCATTGTTCTTGCTCTTTTCACCTTCTTTTGGCTAATTTCAGCACTTTTCCCTGTCTTACAGCTTTTTCTGCTAATTGTGACACGATTAAACAATAATTGTAACACACTGAGAGTAGCAAAACTGAAAAGCAAGACACTCCAGCACACAGGTTAGTAAAGGTAAATAGTTTATTTACAGGGACAAGGTTATCAGGGGAACAGCGAAGACCTGCAAAGACACAAGAGTGTGAGTATTTTCCTTTTGAACTGATATTGAAATGTGAGGAGTAAATTATACTGTCTTACTATGTTGCATAGTTTCAGGCTTGGAGAGGAAGGCAGAGGATTCCAGGACCAAGAAGAGAGTGGCTGGTTGTAGGATGGACACAGAGGCTGGTGGTTGATGTTTATTGTTTTGGGTATTGTAGAGTTTGCAGATGGAGGTTCCAGGCTGAGAATCTACAAGGGTTCCTGACTTCAGGTAAACATGGGGAGGCAAAAGGAGACTAGATGCTAGGAGGAGAAGCCCCAAGGACCAGAGACAGGAAAACGTGAGCTGCGAGGACCACAGGGAAACAGTTATTCTTGTTTTACCAAAATCAGAATCCCTGACGCTGTAGATTAGTACCATGTGGCATCTAATGATTCCAGCAGCTGTAAATACTACGTAGAGCTCGTCAGCTGAGTGTAATCAGCTGCTGGTTCTAGGCTCTGCCTTGCAAAGCTGCAAGGAAGCTGCAGAAAATGTGGTTTGGTACAGAAATTCTGGAATCCCCACAAATTTCAGCTTCTTTCTGCTACTTTTCAGCTAATTTCAGATATTTGTGCTCCATTCAGTTTCTTTCAGCTTCAGCTCAAGCATTTTTATTTTTATTTTTTACATATTGTGCTAAAATTTGGTGTGGTAATATCTGAGCGTGAGCCCGAGCCCCACCACATCCATCCATCCATTATCTTTACCCGCTTATTCCATTTTGGGTCACGGGGGTCGCTGGTGCCCATGTCCAGCAATCACTGTGCGAGGGGCGGGGGACACCCTGGACGGGTCGCAAGTCCATCACAGGGACACATAGAGACAAACGAGACAAACAACCATTCACTCTCTCACTCACACCTAGGGACAATTTAGAGTTACAATCAGCCTAACATGCATGTTTTTGGACTGTGGGAGGAAACCGGAGTACCCGGAGAAAACCCACGCATGCACGGAGAGAACATGCAAACTCCACCCAGAAAGGCCCCTGGACCGAGGTTTGAACCAGGGACCTGCTCGCTGAGAGGCAGCAGCTCTACCAGTTGCGCCACCGTGCTGCCAGCCCCACCACATACTGAAAGATAATTAAAATTTAAGATGGCCACCCAAGCTAACACAAATTATGCATCAGTTGGTTGACATTTTTTTTTTATCCAAACTCTAACTCTAACTTTATTTTTACATGGAAAAATCAAACTTTTCAGCTGGACACCTTGTGAGTCAGAGAACATCCATGTTGATATCAAGGTCACGAGGTCAACAGTCAAGGTCAAAGGTCACATCTTTCTTTAACTAGCTCTAGTTAATAACTGTTTAATATAGAGATGTCTGACCACAGCTGGAGACATCAGGGGTCAACAGTGATTTCTATTGGTTTCAAGGTCATGGGGTTAAAGGTCATCACTTTTTTTTTCATTCATTCAACCTTTATTTGTACAGGTTAGTCTCATTGAGCCATGAGGACTCATTTACAAGAGAGACCTGAATGATGACAATAGTAGACAATTTTAAAAGAAGGCAAATAAATTTAAAAATAAATGGAAGAAAATTATATTAAAAAATTAAACAAAAACAGCTACATTATAAAGTGATGTAAAAGACTAAAAACAGGAACATGTCTGCGTTGGTTTTTGCCATGAAGCAGATGTTTAAAGCCACTTAGAGAGGTCAAGGTCGAGAGCTTCTGATCTTTTTACAAGAAATTCCAGAAAACAGGGGCAGAGTAGGAGAAGGACCTTTTGCCAAGTTCAGTCCTCACTGAGGGAACACTGCAGGTAATAATGTCCTGAGAGCGCACGCTGTAGCTGCACTAGTGAGTAGGAGATATAGGAGGAGGTATATGAACGCAACAGACCAAGAAGTGATTTAACCTCGTAAGACCCGAACTCTTGCATATGTGGATGTCAGATCCAGGTTAAAGATGAAAAAAAAAAGAAAAAAGCTGTAAATAAATAATTTTGTAACATAGACATGCATGGATTTCTCATGGCTCCTTTCAAACTCTTTCTTTTACTTTCAGATTTTGTTTGTCCTCCAGCAGTCTAAGCCTATAGAAGCATAACTAAAGGACAGCTCAGAAAACCCAAGCCAACCCTAACTATAGGATTTATCAAAAAGGAAAGTCTTAAGCCCAGTTTTAAAACTGGATAATGTGTCAGCCTCACAGACAGAGATTGGAAGTTGGTTCCACAAGAGAGGAGCCTGATAACTGAAAGATCTTCCTCCCATTATGTTTTTGTAAATTCTAGGAACCACAAGTAAACCTGCAGTCTGAGAGCGAACTGCTCTGTTAGGAAAATATGGAACAATAAGATCTGTAATATAAGATGGAGCTAGGTTGTTGAGAG